TGTATATTACAAGAACAGTAATCAGTGTAACATTTTACCCTCCTCCTTAGGCTTTAACATTTTTGTAAAAGAGATGAAGCAAACAAGATTGGCATATATATATATATATTTTCTGTATCTGTGACATACTGTTACAGTTCCAAAAACGTTAAGGATTGGGACAAAAAGGTGAGATTATTTTTGGCTGGCACCATACTTCAGAATTATACAATGACATGAAAACTCACTGATGTCTGGGAAATGCCTGTGCTGCTGGAATACTATCCAAGTTCTGATACCTAAAACATAATGTAGTCTGGTGACATGTATGTGATTTGAGATCCCAATTTGATAAATACACATAACTTTAATCCTTCCAAGAAATAATGTGACTGCATTGTCTACTATAATGTGGGCTCTGGAGCTTTGTATGCTATGATGATGCATCTAAGTTTCAAGAAACATACACAGATAAGCTTCCCAAGGGTACCAAAAGTCAATCATTTCTTCACGGAATTCATGTGGTGTTAAGACCACTGTGTTTCTATGGCCTAGCTGGACAGGTACACTGGTGTTATCCGCTCTTGTACAGAATACATGTCAACTCAGATAAACTTTTCATGAAGCTGTGGACCTCAGGCATATTTTTATTTATAGTTTTAAATGAGCTTGCAGCTGGTTTACGAGATCTGCTAGACTGGCATCATTCCTGTGGAATACGGTAAGCTCTCACTAACCTGGAATCAAAAAGATTAAAGAGTAAACCCTGATTCTAGTAGTGACCAAAAATGTTCCAACCTGGAATCTTAAGTAATACTAAGAGATGAACCAAAAAGAGCACCTTGAAGGTTGATAGCCCTTCCTTTGGCTCTAATGAGGAAATGATGACCAATGGTTTTACCACTAAGAACGCAAATGGATACGCCTCTTGACACAATGGGGGTCAAAATAAGCTGATATTCCCCTTTTGTCTTTGGAGTAGGAATGAAACGCCTAATCCCTGATTACTAAGGTTACATTTTCCACTCTTCTGTCATCTAAATGAACATTCAGATGTTGCTTCAACAGCACCCTGTCATGAAGGCATGGATGGGAAAGGTAACGCAAGAGTACAAATTCACTGAAACTATCTGTAATATTCACTGCTCACACTTTCTTACTCTCGTTAGATCTGGGGATTCCAGATCAGGTTTCCTGAAAGAAAGTCTGTCACTAGAAGTTGTGTAGGTGTCACTTGGTGTAGTAACCTATGCTTCTTCCTTTGTACCTCACACAAGCGAGTTGTGCAGTGCAAAAAAACGTCATCTGCTTCTTCCTTCAGACTGGAATGCATAAGCTCACTGAAAACACAGAGGAGCTCCAAATTATTAATGAGCAAAGAGTTTCATTAGCCTTTGAACTGAAGGGGTACTGATCTTTGAATGAAGTTGTTTTTATGGCTTGAACTCCAATCCTGATAGTTATCTTCACCAGCCACAGTCTTCAGGGCATGGATGTGCCCAAACATCCAAAAACACGTGCGGGCACGTTGCATGCAAGGCGGCATGATACACATGATTTTGGCTATCAGCTGCCTCTCACCAATTAGATTTCACTTCTTCCCACCACTCTGTGGGAGTCTTTTTATAAACAGACAACCTGTTTTATTAAAGTTAGCCTTACCTTGACAGGAGCACATGGTGAGTGTCAACACACATTTAGAGAATGACAGAGAAGTAGATCCTGACAAACAAATCCTGGTTTACTGTCCTTTTTCTTTTCTTTCTTCTTTTCTTTTTTTTTTTTTTTTTTTTTTTTTTTTTTTTTTTTTTTTTTTTTTTTTTTTTTTTTTTTTTTTTTTTTTAAACTAAACTTATGTTAAAAACTTATGTTAAGTGATCCTTGTTGCTTTAATCCTTCCCAAATAGCAGCCATGAGATGCTGACCTAGTGCAAAGAAAGCCCTAGAAAGAATCATGGCATGTCTAGAGTGCCAAAAAATGATACTGCAGTTCTATTACCAGAAAATTCCTTGTTAAGTGTTATTCCCAGCCTACCAGGCAAAAAAAGAGTACAGAATATTTAACACACTATTTGGCTTTCTGGCCACAGTTTCCAGGAGGAACTGAAGAATCTCAACTTCATGCATTTTTGTCAGGTTTTGAAATGCCCTAAAGTCATCCTCTGGACCACCTTATGATCTAGCAAGCTTTCTCAGACAACTAAATCACTCTAGAATTAATTATTCCTCCACCTCTGCTTGCTGATCTTTCTCTTCCTTGTGAAAGAAAGATCTAACAGAAGGCGGCAACAATCAGAACAGCAGAAGATACTGCATATGAATGCATATCCTGAGCTGGCCAGGGCTGATGAGCATGTAATAATGACATCATAGGTAGACAGAGAAAAAAAGTACTGAAGAATGTTATCATTTCCCATTGAAATGGTGGTGTCAGAACTCTCCTAGATTCTTGATGTGAAACTCCTGAACAGAAATGGAGAGGGAGTGCATGAAAGGCTGTGTGCCAGTAAGATGCACAGCCGTTAGACTATTAATTTTAATTTGCCATCAAGGTCTTGTACATCGATAGAAAATAGATGATACCAATGCCTCAACTGTTGCATTTGACACCATGTTTTCAGTAACTGAATGCCTTATCAGCACTGTCAACGTTGTATGAATTTGCAATGGAAACTTGGATCCTGGACCCATTGTACCAGATATACTATGAAGCCAAAAGCAATGATACTGATTTAAAATCTGAAAACATGAATAACAAAACCAAATCAGTCAATGGGCTTAAGCAGTACCGCAGACTCTCTTGTTACGATTTCTGTCAAAGCACAGAAATATCCATCTTAGACCAGTAAGTACTTTCTTCATATGCAGCTTAAGTAATTTTCCTTAATATATGAGGGTGATCTAGGTTTCATTTCTGGAACATGAGGAATATAATTTCTTACAGGGAAGAGAACCTACATGAGGACCTCAGACAGGCCTGGACCGTACAGAACCATTAGCATTCATCGCTTACTATAACAAAAGGTACATGCAGTTACAGGGAGGAGTAGTGCAACATAGTAGTTATTTCAGATCTGATTCACATCTTTCAGTCCAGACAACTAAACTTTGAATCTGTAAAAATACTTAACAAAAAAATTAAAACTTAAAAAATTAAGTTATAGAAAAGAGTATCTGGGAAAAAATAAAGCACTGGCTTTTTTTCCAACTTAATTTCTAATCACTTCAGTTCTAAAGGTAACACTTTTGAACAAAAATATTGGAGTACTCCTATAAAGCCAGAAAATTATTGCAGCAAGTTGAAAGAATGCCTAGGACTGCAAATCTTACAGGAAGAAATAAAAGCCTAGACTTTGCCTCCTGTTGCTCAAATCCTGTCTTTTTGGGTAATGTGATTCCATATTTTAGCATATGGCCAGCTACCTATGACTTCATACTTAAGGCTGCACACCAATACAGCTTTAAAATTGAGCATAAATTCCTGTTTTAATCTAACACAGAGAGTCCTCTGAATATCCGCTGCCGCCTTCTAGTTTGTCTTTTAATGACTTTTTAATAGGAAACTTACAAAGGAATGAAAATACAATTTCCCATCAACAATACTACTTCTCATTGTTAACAATTTCTTGCAAAACACTATGTATTAGAAAAGAGCAGAACACGCCTATAACTTGTGTCTTGGCAATTTATTCTACCAAAGAGAAAGGCTCTGCATAAGGCTTTCTATCCAGTTGCTGAGAAATAAATTCTCAATTAAATGTCAGTTCAATACAACATTACTCCTCCTTCCCTGATTTCACATATACACATCTTCTCTGAGAACAACAAGGCAAACCGTGAGTCTCTTACAACATATCTCCATTATTCTTCAAACTGCAGGCATCTAGCGTATCAGAACGACTGCCGCTAGGTAACAGAAGATGTACTGTTACTGGCATTACCCAAAGTAATACCAGACACCATCCACCCTGCTTAGGTTACTTTTGTGCGTACAACCATCGCTTTCCCAATCACTTTACCAATCATAGCTATGACTATTAGGAAGAATACTTTAGTGTAAGACTACACTAACTACAAGGTCAGAAAAAAAGTCTGCAAGGAGGAATAAAACTTTAGTTAAATCTTTCTGACACTTATCTTGCTACAAAATGGCTTTTAACTCAATGCTGTTCTATCCCAAGTCAAACGTGCTTTCTGTTTTTACCACTTCAATGCATGGTAACAAAATACTCCCAAAATAACCATATACATTTCAAAAATAGCAGCAGCCCCTTCCCCTTTTCTGTTCTAAAAGGCAGTGAGTGATTTTTATCTTTTAAAAAAAGTCACAAGGTTTATTCAACATGGCACTGGAATGCCTCACTACTTTCGTGTTCATCCAGTTGGTTATCAACTGATTCTTAGCCTGTATCACTTGGAAAAGCACTGTGACAAATGAGATTATTAACCCTTTTATAGTGCCACAGCACAGTAAAATTCAGCAAAACATAACCATCTCAGCACAGTAAAATTCAGCAAAACATAACCATCTCTTCTAGAAATGACATTTCCAATTATTAGAAAGTGAAAAATGAGTGGGGATAAGCTGTTCATTCAAACTAGAAAAAGAACTTTGATAAAGCCTATTTTTTATCTCCACCTGCTGGCAGGTTTTCATGATATGGCTTCCCTGGCGCAGCCTGACTTTAAAGAAAAACACTGGCAAAGTAAAACAGTGGAATAAACTGAAAAGCCAAACCAAAAATAGCAACAAAAAAATTCACACCAATAAATACGAAAGTAACCGGGACAAAATATAAAGCATAGGTGCTGAGAGGGAGAAGAAAAGACAAGACAATTTAGAAAGAGACAGGCAATTCAGAAATACATTTTATGTCTCTGATGAATTTACATGATACAAACAAATGCTAATACTAGATTTTATTATTTATACAGAAGAATCATGCTATTTTTATGTTGTATTTATGCTTACCTCACCTGTTTTCAACATGATTTTATATTTTTTAATTACCCAAATTTACCAGATTCCATGGTCATCTGAAGTAATCCATCAAGAGCACTGGAAAGCAGACCTCTACTGGATACTTTTAAGTGACTTAATATGACAGGTACACATTGGTATTCCAAAAATAAGGCTTTCCCCTCATCTGTCTTCAAGTCTATGCGAAGGGAATCAAAAGCTTGAGCCAGGTAATCCACTGAAAGATATCAGAATACAGGCAATAAAACTTCTATAATCATAGTTCCATTAAGCAATATGTGAATAGCTATCCTGAGAGTTACTGTTGCAGATATATACTTAAAAGTTAAATGGCTGAAAATATTGAATTTTATTTTTATTTAAAGACATCCTCTGCCTGTTTTTATTCCTTAACAATTTGTTGTGAGTGGAGAAAAAGACTAACTACAATTCATATGTTGAAGAAAAATGTACTTACAAATATAAAAATATATTACAAAATATATAATATTTTGCTGAAGTGAAAGAAATTACAAGCTCGCATAGTTTGAGATAATATTGATTTCAACATCTGGGAAACCTCTATTAAAGGAGCCAAGGGCTGATCTGTCTGAATAAGAGAAACTGCTTTCATGAGAGCAACTACTCCCATTCCTTTCTATGAAAAGCTGTAGTTTAAGTTTCAGTGCATACATTTTATATACTCATCCATTGTGGAGTGCACTAAATTATATGAAGAATGTAGATTAAGTGAACCAATCTAATTTTCTTCATTTCCTGATGTCAAATCTTCCTCAGTATCTTGGAATAGCATTGATCATCCCGAGCACAGAAAATTAAGTATAAGGAAACCATTTATCCTGTAGGAAACCTTTAACTACAGTGCCATCTGCTGGATACTGGCATTCTGAAGGAAATGGGCTATATGTTCAAACCAAATGTGCTACCTTATGACTAGATCATTAGTGCCATGTGGTCAGAGTGATCAGAATTCATGCACAGTGATGTTTGACATATGTTTAACAACAGATTGTATTTTCCATGTTATAGAAGCCAGCGGTAAAAAGCAACCATGAGAAGCTAAACTGATTCATTCTAATTAACAGCGTTCATCTGCTTAGGGTAAGTAAGTCTCTGCAATAACTATTTTTTGTATTGCAATTCTTTTTGCATCATTTTAATCAAACATTTCTAGAAATGTGAGTCTCAATTTAAGAGTAATTATCATGCTTCACCAAAATATCTTGACTGAAATAGTTTCCTCCAACAGCTGAAATACTGTATATGTTCATTAATCATGTCAGGGTAGTCTTCCACCACGTTTACATCCTGTGTTTACTGTAAATACTCACAATATAAATACTGCACAGGTCAGTTAAGCATAAAGACATACTAATCTGCTTAACCATCTAATCCAGAAGGATGAATTCCATGAACAAGAACATTGCTCATTATTTATGGATTTAAAATCTTTGGCATCCCTGATTAGTGTCAATCAGGGTGCCAGAGATTGCAGCAATTTTGTGATATGGATCTCTGCTTTCTAAGAAATGGCCCCAAACCCGTAACATATTTCATGCAAGAGACTGAAAAAAATCAGATGCCAAAGTAGGCATCTGATTCCAACACTCTGGCATGGTTTTTCAGGATTACCTTGAAAATTAACGTCTCTGTAACCTGACTCCATCTCTTTGTGCTACTAGCAGAGGGGATGTGTTACTAGTAAGGACGTTTTAAAATACAAACCATTCTGAGAACAAAAGATAGCAAACATAGAATCATGGAATAATTTAGGTTGGAACCTCCTGTCCAAAGCAGGATCATCTCTGAAGTTAGATCAGATTGCTCATAGTCGTAACCCCACTGAACAATTACTTGCTATCAAAATGATCTGTGCTTTTAAAATGTCTTTGAAAAGGGAAAAATAAGTGGTTAGTACCACAAAGAGTTGGAAAAGGTTTATAGATACATTCATTCTTAAGCTATCCTTGTAAAACTTATTCTTGCAGAAAATCTCAGTTATGCAGCACCACAGTACTCCAAAGTTGCTGCAGGTAGGCAGTAATCACCTCTTACACCTGCTCTTAATGGTATATAATTAGTGTTTTCTGCCTGACTTCCATAAAAAGGATCTGCAACACCTCTTGTTCCCTGTTTCCCTTGAAGAGAGAAAAGGCTTCATAACCGAAGGCAGGAGTTAACAAATCAGCTGAGAAAACAGTTACTATTCTATGAGATACATTTTCCACAGTTTTTTCTCACCCTGTCCAGACACAATCTGATTCTTGTTAACTCGTAGTGTCTACTTTAAAATCTTTACCTTCTCCCTCTCCCATGAGGCAGGGAAGACCCAACTTCCCCTATTTCTTTGCCAACACAACATTATATAGGTTTTAAGTAGAAAATTCTACTTTACACTACTATTATACATCTTCTGCTAGTGTGAAAGGTGGGAGGATCCTGGGAGCAACGTGCAAACAGAAAAAAAACCTCACAGTGAAAGGAAAGAGTCATTCACCCTGTGATGCCCCCTTACACCCCCTCTCCCCAATTCTTTTCGGTTAACAAAAGGCAGAAGTGTGAGCTGAAAATGATGTAGCTGTTTCAGATACAATAATCCACTAGCAGGCATTGAAGGCTGTCTGGACTATATTGTTTAAGAGGATATTTGAATTTTTTTTTTTTTCCCCCCAAAGAAATAAATACACAAAAAATCAAGTCTTTATATAGTCAGAAGCTCAACTTGATAATATGTGGCAATTATATTCCATTTAGGATTCAGAGGGGACCTATCAACTCTGCTGCTTTTATGCCGATGGACTCTTTTTGCATAGGTGAACAAAATTGCTTCATAGCAATCATTGAAACCATTATTTAATTAAAACAATTAAGTCAAAAGAGAAAGCTAATAATAGAAGTCAAAATAAGACATTCTTTTGGATTACTCATCAAATCTGGTTCTTAATTTACGAATTAAGAACCTTCAAGCATAATTCAGATTAAGTACTGCTGTTGAAGGTTTCAAAGAAGTCATATATAAATTAGAAATAGGTAAGAATTTGTTTAAATGACCAAAATTAATCTGTAAGTTAATTTTAAAATATCTCTATAAATCAGATTGATTGAAGGTTTTTCTTCTTTGGGTTCTGACAGAAAAGTGTACACCAATCTCTATGTGAAAAGGATAAGGAAGGAAAGCATTAAAAATCTGAGTTCGTGCCTCTTCTCATAGTGTGCTCAACACTCAGAGCTCACAAGAAACAGTCCATTTTTGTCATCACTTTAAAGAAAATGTTTTAGTCTTTTCAGATCATATCTGTTTTCAAAGAAGGCCCCACTGAGAAGATTTGCCACAGCATCTTGGAAACTGCACAAGTGGAGTAACCTGTCATAACCTGAAGCAGAAGTCACTGTTTTCAGAGCTGTGTTATCTCCTGATATGACCTTGTTTGCTTTTGCCTTGTTAACAAAGTACATTACTATACTACATCAACATAGGAATTTTGGAAAATTGTGGATAAAAAGGCCACTTTTCATGCTAGACAGGTGGCTTTGAAGTCTAAAACATTTTTATGTTAGCAGAACATGGTGCCTTTGTAAATGAGTCTATTTAACAGTGAAATCTGAATGGACAATCATATCAAGAACTGACAATTTCATAGAGTAGCATCTTTCAATGTTGATAATGTTTTATGGGTATTTGCAGTGCCAGACTTGGTAGGAGAAGAGGGGAGCAGCAGACAGGTAAGGACTGGAGTATGAACTGTATACTAAACTTAGACCAAGGGACAAAGCAATTTCAGGACATACATTGTATCACAATTCAATCTAACAATTATAATCCACTACACAAGTGGCTTTCTCTGTGCAACTACAGACACATCAGAAATACCTATAAACATCAGATTTATCTATAAAGATAAATGCAGCAAAGTTGTAACTATGTCAGAAAAAAACACTTGACACTGCAGCTGATCGGCCTTTCAGGGAATAGGTAAACAAACTACTAGCTTAAACAGGACAGTGAAATTCTAGAACTGTGCAAAATCTGCTACTTATTTCAGTTTATAAAAGAGCAACTAGCTGTGCCATTCCATGCAGTAAAGATCTTGGCAATCCAATCACTGCTGTAGTGACATAATTACCAACATCTCTTTTCCTCTTCTTCAGAAATGTTGATTTGTCTGACAAGAAGTCATCATACTAAAAGGAACACATAAATTCCAACATGAAATGAATAAGAGCAAGATTCATAATTGTTTCCAGTACATTTTGCTTCACAAGGTAGTAAAATTCAAGTAAAACCACTTTTCACTAATAAAGCATAATAGACGCTACAGTATCACTGAAATGTCTTTTGTCTAGGCACATGACTGAAATAAATAAATAACTTTAAAAAAATCGGAACTTACCTTGTGTCACTGTTTTAAGCACAATCAAAGTTGACAGAAACCTCAAAGGCATACAGGAACTCTTAAAGAAAGCTGCCGATTTTGATTTACTCTCTGTAGACTGTTCAGAAGAACTATGTGGGTTTCCCTTACTTACTATGCCTTTGAAAATATCTTCGCCAAGCCTCCTCATTGTTGATGTCATTGTTGCATGCTGTTTCAAACGATGCACACGGTTAGTGTAAACATTAAAACACATTAAAATCCTGTGTACTGTGTAGATATACATATGTTGCCCTAGTGATTAAATATTAAATAGCAAATGGTTTGACCACGTATTGGAATATAATCTGTATAGGAGATACTACTTTGCGTTCCAAAAGCAGTTGAACAACATTGTCATGGCACCTTATCAACACATACTTCACAAAGAGACTAGTTAGTGAGGACCCCTGATATGCTGACATTATTTGAGTTGCTTCTGGTTCCAGAACAAGCTCAGCTTCAGTCAACTCTGTTTTCTAAGGTTGCCTGAATTTATATCCTGTAAAAGCATTTACAGAATCAAGGTCTAAACATGAACCTTAAGAACACTGTACAGGTAAGATCTATTAGACTTTTCATCATAAACTATACAGAAATACTACTTCAGAATCAAACCACAATACGCTCATTTAAAATATAGTTCTTATTAGCACTAAAACCAACAGCTTACTATTCTATTAAATTTAAACTCAAGATATTTACAAAGTTTCCTACCTTTTGCTTTAGCAAAAGCACTACTGACAGCACTATGCACTATACTGAGTCTTTACAGTACAGCTACTGTCTCTTTCTTTATTATACTGCTAAATATTTTCTTATAGCAGTCTCATCAAAGGGCGTAAGGAATGTGGTTAGACACTGAGCAGAGAACAGAAAAACCAAAATTCCTTTGCTGCTTTGCCACACACTTCCATCAGTTTCAACAAATCTCATGCATAAAGTGAACCTAAAAACATCGCCTTTTCTAGTGCAAAAGTTTTGTAAATACATCTGTAAAAATATAATTTCCGAGATGCTTAGATACCACAGAGATCACATACTTATGAAAACTATGTTTAGATACACAACACAAAACTTAAAATTAACTTGAAAAATAATTTTTTTTTTCATTTGTCGTGTATCTGTGGTAAACACTATGAATTTATGCTTTGCAAAGACAGTAGAGTTTCTTTTATATATACTACCTGAAAACATCCACTTTTCATATGTATTTAAAACACAAAATCCATTAATATCTTCTGGGAATTTAGTTTTTTAAAAAAATGTACTGCAAGAGGACTACTTGTTTTACCTGAATACCACCATTGTAGTTTAGGATTCACAAATGGCATCCACTGGAGTTGCTCAGTAGCTATAGGCAAAAGCTGTAAAAATATACAAAAGTAAAATTACATGCAGTATATGAAACTACTGTATAAGCTAACCATAAGTGAAAAACAAACAAACAAACCTCCCAACTTTCTCTTGGAGTTTAACAGATTACATATACCAATACTCACCGGACAGATCCAGTACAGGTAGCAGAATTATATGCATACACAGATTTTAAATTTTACAGAGGTTTACATGCAAAAGTGGAGATACATCATGTGAGCCCAATCTCAGTAAATCCAAGCCCAATGGCTATAAATCTCAAATACAATGAAGAAAAACAGTAAAAGAACATTTTCTGAACACCTCACTGATTTCCAAACCTTGGTATCCCCAGAAAGAAAACAACAAACGTGTTAAAAGTATAGCATAGTACCACCTTTTATCAGTCATAAATCAAAACTTTAATATCTAATATAGGCATCAAGATATTTTAAATTAGACATGTTCATCTCCTTAGAAAAAAGGAATTATGTACAGTATTACATATAAAACACAAGACATTATCAACTGACAGAAGTGACAAGATAAAATGCTGAAACTCTCAAGTTGAGACTGAACAGCACACTTTTCCTTAAAAATGATCTGTATGCTTTATGTGTGACAAATTATCTATTATATCTCCCTGTCAGAATTAATACTGACTTATTAAGAGTGATTTTGTTTTAATTACTGTATCCAAAGCATGTATAAAACAGGCTGACCTGTTATATTCTCAAAATCGTTTAGTAAAACCCATAAATCCAAAAACATATTAACACAAGCAAACAATCCAAACTCCTTTACCTTCATACAACTTTCCTGGGTGCAGTTTTTTTTGGAGATCTGGGTAACCGGAAGTTTATGACTGCCCTCTCTTTCTTCTTGTATTTTTATTTTGCTAAGGTGCTTGTCGGAGATCCAATCCATAAGAAAAGTTAAGAGCTCATAAACTTGTGAATTCATTGGTAGCTGTAATACATCCAAAACATCAGATATTTCAGCTTTCAAGTTAATGATTTTTCTAAGCCAAAATAGTAACAGACTGAAATATATGAGTACATTAGTTCTGAAATATTATGCATAATTTAAAAGAGGATGAGCGTATGCCTGATAAAATCTGGGAGGTAAGTTACTGTATTGGGAGCCTGTGGAAAACATTATATTCAAGGAAATAGTGATCTTGAACAGGCCATGTCTCCTCTGTTGGGTCTTGTACCCTGAGTTTGAGAAGCCTGTATGTTATTTAATACAACCTGTAACTTATAGTATCTCTGGGAAAGGTAAACTGTATGTGGATCAAGGGGTGGAAGGTGACAATCCTGACCCGGAGACCACTGTACATCGAGGAGTCAGAGATCCACATCACAGTTTACCTGAGTAGGCGCAGCCTGTGCTGTGCTGCACAGATCCCTTGGCCGCAGGATAAACTCAGCCTGTAACAGGAGCCTGCAGGCAGCTCCCACTTGGTACCGGTGATCACGCCTCCTGCCTGGCCATGCCTTTGTCTAAAAGGGCAACAAGAAGTTCTCCTGTGAACGTCCTTCATGAACAGAGTTGTTTTCTTGTAAGAAAACTATATAATAGCTTGAATGACCGAAAAGGAGGAGCTTCTCTCCATGGACAGGACCTGCTCGGCATGCCTTGGGAAAAATCCACCTGGGCTCCATCTGATGCTGCGCACAAACACGGTTCCCAGCATCTGAAGGGACGTAAGATTTACTCGCTATCTATATTCCTCTTCTTATTCTGTCTTATTAGAACAGCCATTTCATTAAGCCATTTGTTGTCAGGCCTTTCTTACAGAGATCCAGAAAGAACCCTGCATTGTTTCTCTCTCTCTCTCTCACACTTCACTCCCCTCCCCACTGCAGAACAGGTACTATTTGTGATGGTTTCTGGGTGTGAAAAAATACGCACATAATTTATTTTGTACTTAGACAAATGGTTATAAAAGGCCTGGGAAAAGGTTTTCACATACAGAATCACTCCATTTTATAATTCTGGCCAAATGAATTACAGGAGAAAGCAAATCTTTAATGTCCTTTGCACATGGAAATTCTCATTTCAATGCACTAGACCTCTACACTAGACCATACAATCCACTGTTGTTAAAATTTAACTGGGTAACTAGCATTGTTAGAAAAAGAACAAAGACTTCATGAAATTGTCACTCTGTCCCTGTACTACACTGTAGTGAAATACTCTATGAAAGATATCCAGAGGTACGTGAAGACAAGCTGCACAAACAGTTCTCTAAAGACTTCAAAAGTTTTCATGTATCTACCTTCAGATAACTGTTTTCCTCTTCACTCAGAACTATAACTACTGATACTGTTTATATTTCACTTGCAACCAAAGTACACTAAAACCTATGTAAACAGAGAAATACGTTGGCTATATATAGACAGCACAGTTTTAAGACATCTGATGTAATTAATTAAGTAGGACGGTGTGAATATCTCTTTCCCGTTTCACAGTTTAGCCTCTAGCTGGAGAAAATCATTACCAGTTGGGAGATGTTGGCAGAGTACTACCAGAGGACTTGCTACTAAATGGAACAACATGGAGACAGAAAGCATTTCATTAAGTGATGTAAGAAGATATTTTAAAGAAAACAAGGTGATAGTTTTGGAACTGTGTATGAACATTGCATTTATTCTCTTTCCCTCATTAAAGACCATTTATCAAAAAAATAACAGTAGTACAATCACCTCTGGCTTACAAAATTAAAATTCTTTATCTGATACCTCTGACTGACTACTTTTTAGCTGGTGTTATTCATAAGAACACTGCTGTACTGTAGCAGCAACCAGAAAGTTTAAGATTTCCTCTGACACAGCGAAAGAAGCCAGTTACAGTGTAAGCAGGTTATAATTTTAATTGACAGATGAAAGATGATGTGACAGAAAGAGAAAAACATACCATATAAATAAAAACATATACATACACTATATACATACACAATATGAAATCCAACAGACATTTTGAGCAACGAGGTTAATTCTTTTTTAACTGCCTGTTTTTCCCCAATATAATCTGTACCTTTTCTTAATGTAACTAATTCACCCATAAAATAAATAAAATTGGAAGTTACATTTTCTAATTTCTAGCAGATACACAGAGAACGTTCCACTGCCTAATGTCTTTAGAATGAATCTTTCATTTTGCCCAGTTCTTACCTTAGCAATTTTTGATGTTACCGTCACTTTTTCCTGCTTGACAGGTTTACTTTGTTGCACCACTTGACATATATCCTTAGACTTCTGTACCATCAAAAATTCATGCTTCCTCTACAACAAAATGTAACAATGAATTATATTTCACTTGTTACCTACAAAAGAAGCAGGTACATGTGAGAACAAACCTTACTTGTAGATTCTCTAAACGAGCTTGTACTTTTCTTGCTTGACCTTCCAACTTCTTGTTCAGCTCAGTTACATCACTTAACTGAAAGAATCAGAAAATATTAAAGTATTTGTAAATTCAAAACTCACTTCTTAATTATCGCACTGAAATAATTTGATGTGGTTGCTGAGCAGCTAAATTATTTAAGTTTTTTCTTCCGAACATGTAAAGTGATAGAAACAAAATCATCATCCACCTCCTCAACAAATCACAGAACCATAGACTGGCTCAGGTTGGCAGGCACCTCTGGAGGTCATCCGGTCCAACCCCCCAGCTCAAGCAGGGCCACCTGGAGTCGGCTGCCCAGGACCATGTCCAGACAGCTTTTGAGTATCTCCAAGGTGGGAGACTCCACCACCTCTCTGGGCAACCTGTTCCAGGATAAATAAGTCAGCAGTAGCTCTTTGTTGACCCACAGCCCAACCTTTCAGTTTGCAGGGGAAGAATAAGCACTACAATGCCTCTCTAGATACACAGGCACTACACATTTGATTACTTTTCATGAAGCAGTGACATAAAAATGGAGCGCACATTTCAAGAATGGTCCAATAGTCCTGTTAATGGAGAGGGTGAAAGTTTTCTTCTCTGCAGAATGAAACAGTTACTGACTGTGCTACAAAAACAGTTTGCTCTGTGAGAAAAGATGAGGGAAACTGTAACCTCCATTTAAATATAAGAAACATGCTCTATGCATACAACAATGAACAGCATGATTTTCACGGAAGCCCTCAGTTTGCACAGAAATGCAAAGATTTTATAGTGAGAAGAGATAAAGATACAGATGGGTTGCACCAGAACCATCAACATTCTAGAGTTAGGTCTGACCTTCTCTAAGAGAAAGAATAAGGCTCCGTTGTAGATTTTTATTTTACTCAGACTATCAGAACTCTAATTAATTCACTGAATAAACAATGGTCAAATAGTTTAGATAGCAATTTGTGTGTCAGCATTTTAGCTCAGACTTAACAGTCAAGTGAGATGAAAATTCTTACTCTCTGTATTACTATGAACCACTGTCTCGGTTTAAGAACTGAGAAAATACTGCCTTAATTAACATTTGTAAAAATAACTGAAAATACTGAGCAAACATGAAGTTAGAAATACACATTCTACTTTTCATTTAATACAATCAGCACAGCAATTCAGCACAGGGTAGATTCTATTCTGTTATAAAACACTTTCGCTCCATCCACTCTCAATTTGCTTCAGAGGACATGGATTTGTCCTTCCTAACAATTAGCTTGTTGCTAGTGGGTCAGAGGAGTAAGTGCAACTGTTTTTATACTGTAAAAGATCAAAGAGGCTAAATGTCAAGTACTAGAAAAAGGTGTGGAAAGTACTTTCTGCCATTCATACAATTCTTGTCTTACAGAAACAAAAAATCAGCAATTTTGCAAACTTAAGCTGTTCAAAGAGTAAAAATTAACTGTAACTTGTAAAATTATTGATAACAGCAAATAACTAATTTTACCTGTTTTCTTAAAGAGTCATTCATTTCCTTCAAGGTGTCAAATGACGACTTCAGCCTTCTATTTTCTTTAGTTATTTCTCTCAAGGCTTCTGTCAGCTGTTTAACTTCTGCCTCGTGTTGCTATAGAAATATCAAATTTAAAAACATGATTTACAAGAGACTATTTTAGAAACAATTCTAAGCTAAGTTCCATTTTAGTGTTAAAATAACAGGATAAACTTTCAAAGATCAAGTTTGTAATTCTGCATGGCCAAATTTGCACCTTCAACCAGTATTGAGAAAAACAACATCCACACTGCCTATTAAGAAGAATCTATAAAGAAACTGAGAGCAACATGCAGAGCCAATTGCTCTTATTCTTTCCAGATTCCACCCGACACAGATTATATCCATATGTATGTTTCTCAGACAAGTCAAATGTGGGAAAGGTTTGTGAACTAAAACCAAAGACAAAGCTTTTATTTACAGCTTATTCTTCCATATAATTACAAAAAAAGTAATTCTGTTTTGCAGCAGCTTTTGAGGTTTCAATTAGTGTTTCTGGCTTTGCTCACTCTGAATCATGCAGAGCCAGAAACTATTCCTATGTCTCTTAGGCTAGTGCTCTGGTTTACAGCACAAGCATATGAATTGCTAACTACAACCTGCATATCCACTGCTATTCTTCTCATTCCCCTGAACCTTATTTTAGATTTAATCCTCTCTGGACACCAGTGCATCTGATGTACCTCAGATTTGGTAAAACAGTAAAGTTTTATTTTACTGAAAATATTCCAGCTATATATACTTACTATCTTTCATTTCTCCCCTTCCATGAATTCACTATTCTTCACTCATTCACCCCACTCATTCTCTACTTTTCCATTTCCAGCCATATCCTCTCTTCCTACATGTGCAAATAACAAAAATAAAGCACAGTAGAAGCTTAAAGGAAGAAAGCCCTGAAGAGATCCGTCTCTATTATGGCTCCCTTCCAACTTGAGATATTCTATGATGATATATTTCTGCTTGGAAGCACAGTAACTTCCATTCCAGCTATACAGAAAAACCATCTACAGCTGCTTTTTTCTCAACTGCCGCTCTTCTTCAGGCAATAGGATCAAAACAGCTGTGGGCAGGACATTCTTGTCTAAAGCACCTACCCACACTTGGCTAAGATGACATGAAATGACAGATCCCCTTTTCATACCAATAAACGTGCAGGGGCTGCCAACGTATAATTGAGTGCACCCTATCACAACACATGGAATGTTTCACTTCCATCTTCTATATACACAGTTAAGAGCTTTATTTGAAGTTCAATAGCTGCTCTAGGAAGAATCAGTAGAGAATTATTAATCTGAAAGGTAAGCAGAATCAACTCAGTTGTTAAGCCACAGGGTTGTAGGTGATGCCATAAGCAAATCAGGTGATGTCACCCATATCACCAACCAGCTCTATCCTCCTGCTATTCACTCCTGCCAGATGTTTGCCTAGTCTGTTCTTAAGTCCTCCAATACTGGAAACACTGCAGTCTTACCAATCTACCTGTCCCTATGCTTAACTATTTTTGTTTAGATCTAGTTTTTCCTCACACTTAACCTTATTACTACTACTACTTCTCCTATCACAGACATGAAAACAAGAATAAGTTTCTTCCTCTTTGTTGCAGCCTTTTATGTAGCTGAAGCTGGGCACGTTCACCCTCAGTTCATCCTGTATGTTGAACCCATGCATCCGCTCATCATCCTCTATTTCTGCAGCTGATATTTCTATTCAAGTGCAATACTGCACACTCACACCTTCTGAATAGTACAATGGCTTTTTTCAGACCTACCATATCTTCGATTTGTCAAGATCAATTTTAATCCTAATGATCTTTTTCAGTATGCTTGAAATTCCCCCTCACTTGCTATTTTCTTCAAATTTAATAAATGTGCTATTTCTCACCCTCAAACTTCTTATTGAAAATACTGAATAATACTGGACAGAAAAGATATTCCAGAATTCACTATGTACATTCCTTCAACTTTACTGTGAACTACTGTCTCGCTACAGCTTTACACCAACTGCATTACGTCTATGTAATACTTTCCTAATACGATTATGAAAATGCCGTGCAAACCTGTATAAAAAATTTCTAATTAAGTCCAGACATATATATAACTACTACTCCTCTATTAGCAGTACCTGTCACCTTGCTGTAGCGGAAATGAGACTGATTTGACAATTTACGATTAACATATGCTAGTAGTTATTTATTGCACTGTTTTCTGCATTGTGCTTCCCGTGGTTTGTTCATAGCTTGATTTGGGATTTATTTATTAATTTATTTTGAGAATTGGCATTAAGCTGATAGCTGTACAACTCCTTCCCTTTGAAAAGAAAGGCACCACATTTTTTTAGTCTTCTAATACACCATCTGACCTCCAAAAATTTTCAGATAACCACTAATTTTTCCTGGGTTTTCATCAGCCAGTTCTCTAACTGGTGTAACATTCTTAAAGCCCAGAAGATTTGAAACATCTAAATTAACACCTTAACCTATTCCTTCCCTGTTCAAAAGTTGAGGTCCCGCTCCTCTGACACCCTTTCCCCCTTTTTAACATGTAGTCTATCCTCCCTCAACAGCTTGTGGGAAAGGTTTATCTGCACACTTCAAAGAAATTTAATTTCTCAGCTTATGTTTTTGACACATATTTAAGGACTTCTCTTGGTGATCTTCTGGATAGTAACCAAAACCAAGACCTAAATTCAATAGCAAACACACACAAGAACAGTGTTGTTGAACACATTTTTCCGTTGTTGAAATCATACCATTTCATTTCCTCCCACACCCCCAAAGTTAAGTTGATCTTTTCTTTCTTTGAACTTTTTGAGTGTTTTTCTGCTAATACTCTCTGCAATAGTTGTTACTTCATAAGATCTCATTGTGTCTTAAAGCCTTCCCAAGGAAATCTACTTCAACTACAGCTAATGCAAAGATACTCATTTAGGTTACATACAATTACAGAGACACCACAATTTTTTCTCTAATACCGGTCATATAGTTTTTGCTATTTTAGAAATAAGTTGCCTTTCTTTTCTAAATTGTAACAGTAAAATGTACCTACACATCAGACAACTAAATGCACCATTCTGAAACAGAACCCAAACAAAAACCCTATCGATATTGTTTCGTACTTTTTATGTAAACCTTTCATTTGGGGATTTCAAGCACTTTAAAGAAATAAGCATTATATCCAGCAAACACGTGATGACTTAAGATAACTACAAACAAGTTAAATGGCATGTAGAGCGATAAACATCATTAAATATATTACTGCACCTCTTTTATAATTCTGATTTTTGTGTGAACTTCTTCCTCAACACCTCTTATTTTAGCCAAAGCTGCTTCATGTCTAAAAAGTAATGCTTCTCGCTCTGTTAGAAAACGCTCTCGTTTCTGGAGTTGCAGAGCATACTCCTGCTGTGCTGAACTTTCTCTCTGTATCAAGAAAACAAATTTTGAGACAGCTTTAAAATCCATGAAATTATCACAATTTATACTGAATTTGAATTTTCTCTCCCAGAGATATGCTTAGCTTTTTGTAAAATTATACAGTGTTGCACAATAGCTTACTAATTAAAAGTATCCTGATGGACATCTATGTTCACTTTCCCCACACATTAACCCAAATGACTTTGATGCGCAGCAGGATGGCTCGGCCTCCCAAAATGCAAAATTCAACTCTTTACAGTTGTTCAAGTATAAACCTAGACAAATAAACTTAGGCTTTTGCTTCCAAAAGTTTTGGATAATGGTATTAACTGCAAGACAAAACAGAATCTGATGCAACCATCTATCCTGAACTAGATTACTATATTGTTTCTTCAATTAGTGGGAAGCATCCCTGAAAAAGCGGTGAGGACAAAAAGAGATACAAAATTATTTTTGCAAAAGACAGTCCTGGCAGGGAATCTAGCAGAAGTATGGGAGCTATTATAGAATAAAACCATATAGGAGGTTCTTCTGTTAGTGGCCTAGGCCTGCTAGGGGATGAACTGCTGGGATTCCCCAGCAGCAGAAAATTAAAGATAAGGCAGAATGAGGGGTTTTCGCAGGAGGCCATGAAGGCAAGCACTCTTGAATGCCCAGAGTCAGGAGAATAGTTTCAGATGCTCTCAGGAGAAGCAATGGTTGCAGGTGTTTCCCTCCATGCCCACAGTGTGTCACAAGACACTCCTCTTGGATGTAGAAGCACTGTGTTCAAACTCTCTCAAGCCAAATTTTATCTTATCTACCCACTATGCGAGTCAAAGCACCACTACCAAATCAGTGAATTAATTTAGGGGAAGAGGCAGATGATGACAGAGTTTTAGTATATAAGTCATTGTGATTAGTATAAGTAATAGTAATAAGTAATAGTTTTAGTATATAAGTAATTAAGTTTTAGTATATAAGTAATAGTGATTTAGTATATAAGTAATTTCTGAATTCTCTGTCAAAAGTGACAATCTTCATAACATTACTCAACAAAATTTTTAAGGCGATTCCACTTCTTACCTGGAGCTTCTGATGTATGACAAATAATTCATCATAAATTTGACCGATGTGAGGCGGTATTAAGCCTTGACTATTGCATGCTTGAGCATCAGTTCCACTCACAATTTTCCTTACCAAACCACTAGTAATATTTTGGTCACTATTTTCTCGTGTATTTGCAGCCAAATGGGATGGTAAGGTGCTGCCTATGGAAAGGAAAAACCCATTTTACATTAAAAAATTAGGCCTAGATAAATAATGACACGATTGTTGTTCCAAAACATCGAAAACTTATTTTAGGCATTTAAAGTGACAAGTATAGAGCAACAGGTATCAAAATGAGAAAGTAATCTCCTAAAGAATTATGGAGAATTGCTTAGAGCTGTGTTCCATGAGTTGTTTGAATCAATCGGTGATCAATGAAGTTTTATAAGTAAAACTATGTCCTCCACTTCAATATAGAAATCCCATAGAAATCTGTATGAAATCTATGCCCAGACTGAATCATAGTGTGGCCAAAATCTCCTATTATTTTTGTAAGGGTTTCAGGCAAGTGATTTGCTGCTGACTAGACCTTGGCCTGACATCTAAGTTAACAGAACAAGACTTAAGCAACTACTGGACACGACATGAGAAACTGCTAGACATGACAGATTACAGTGTAAGAAGCTGATGAAAGTTGCAGATAGCAGTGAGGAATGGCTGGATTTCACAAATAGTCAAATGGCCAAAATTCACAGATAGCTGAAGGGAAGTATTGGGATCTTTTGGGGTCGAGAGACCTCTTGCAAGGCCAACCGCACCTAGGAACCACATCAGGCCAAGATTACCTAGGTGACAGTATCAGAAATACAGGTTTGGGAACTGTGCTGGTTTTGTCTGGGGTAGAGTTAATTTTCTTCATAGCAGCTAGTATGGGGCTGTGTTTTGGATTTGTGCTGGAAACAGTGTTGATAACACAGGGATGTTTTCGTTACTGCTGAGCAGTGCTTACACAGAGTCAAGGCCTGTTCTGGTCCTCATCCCACCCCACCAGCAAGTAGGCTGGGGGTGCACAAGGAGTTGGGAGGGGACACAGCTGGGACAGCTGACCCCAACTGACCAAAGGGATATTCCACACCATATGACATCATGCTCAGCATATAAAGCTGGGGAAAGAAGGAGGAAGCGGGGGACATTTGGAGTGATGATGTTTCTCTTCCCAAGTAACCGTTACGCATGATGGAGCCCTGCTTTCCTGGAGATGGCTGAACACCTGCCTGCCGATGGGAAGTAGTGAATGAATTCCTGGTTTTGCTTTGCTTGTGCGTGGCTTTTGCTTTACCTGTTAAACTGTCTTTATCTCAACCCATGAGTTTTCTCACTTTGACCCTTCCAATTCTCTCCCTTCATACTGGGTGGGGGAGAGTGAGCAAGCAGCTGTGTGGGGCTGAGCTGCCTGAGGGGGGTTAAACCGCAACAGGTACAGATGTAGCAAAACCTAGACCAATGAGAAAAAGTATTAGGGATAGGTTGTTTATTTGGCAAGCAACTGGGGAACAGAAAAGAAGGAGAAGCCGCATCAAGAAACAGAAAAAAGGTTACTAGATGAGCAAATGATGTAATCAGGGCTAATTGGTGGTATGCATCAGGCAGCCTTGTGGTTGACCACCCATCACAGCTGGAGCAGGACAATAAACCAAACCTGTTGTTCTGCTACAGCGTGTCTGCTTCAAGGGTGAGGAAGGAGAGCATAACTAGTACAATGCCACATAAATCATAACAGAAAAAAAAGGGAAAAGAAGCCAGAAAAAAAGCAGTCATATCTGAAACAAATGTGTGTGATGTTTATCAGAGTTCTGTATTTATTTTGCCTTTGATCCCAAATACTGTAAACTACGCATTTTTCCTGGTGTAATTAAACTCTTTTTTTTCCTTTTTCTTTTCAGAAAGAATGTGTCGTCAGAAAGCTCTTCTTATACTCTCCCCACCCATTTAATACAACTCTTGGTGAGAGTCTATTACAATTCTATTGATCTGTCCCGCCTGGCTTCTGAGATTCCTTTTAGACACTTTGGGGTTGGTTGGCTGTCTGTCTGTCTCCACGCTTCCAGATTCACTTTCAAAAGAATACATGAATGTTCTTCTAAACCTAAAACTCTCCCCAAGAGACAGAGCTACACTGATTCACAAATTCCTCCAATTGTGGCAGCATTTTCAAATGTTTGCAGTGAATTAATGCCAGCTGGTCCCTGCTACAATCTTCCAGTTAGAATTTCCTGAGTTAACTGAACAACAGATGACTCTCTCTACCCATTGCCAGTTTTCAATCCTTAAACTGACAAAAGACTTATGACTTAAGAGGTGTAGTATTTCTAATGCAGCTAGCTACTTAAAACAAAACAAACAAACAAACAAAAAACCCCAAACCCACCCTGTTTCTTCATTCATATTATAAAGTTACCTGGCAACCAGTTTCATAAAAGGTTGATTTTTCTTTTTAAAATATATGTTAGTATTGCATCAAGTATTTCTGAACGGAATAGAAATACATATACTAGAAAGTTTTTTAAATTACATATTATACTTCATGCAGAGTTGTGAAAATATTTAAAATTCCATATTTATTACCTGTTTCCACATATATAGCTGTATTTTGAACTGCATCAGTTCCAGAGCAATTAATGGTCTTTTCTTCTATTTCTAGACCACTTGAATCACAAAAAGAATCTTGCTCATCTTCAAAACTAAAATTTACTAGAAAGTTTTTTAAATTACATATTATACTTCATGCAGAGTTGTGAAAATATTTAAAATTCCATATTTATTACCTGTTTCCACATATATAGCTGTATTTTGAACTGTTTCAGTTCCAGAGCAATTAATGGTCTTTTCTTCTATTTCTAGACCACTTGAATCACAAAAAGAATCTTGCTCATCTTCAAAACTAAAAGAAAATACAAAAAAGGAATAATTTGAAATCACTCAGTCCCTAACACACTACATTTAGAGAAGTTTGTATAAAAATGTAAACAATGTTCAATCTAAGATTTTTATATTTGACTGATAACAAATAGCAGAGTTAAATCATTTGGATTATTACTCACAAGATTTTAACCACAACAATTAGTAATGTTGCTGACTTGAGTGGTAACAACAACTAGAATTTTCATGCTGTAAGCACATGTATGCAGCAGGTAAAACCTATAACCCTCCTCTCACCACCAACCACCAAATTCCAGGAAAGATAAAAATACAAAACCCCTTTTTTCATTATTTTTTCATATTTGCCGTAAAGTAGCCCTGAAAAGAGATTTCTTGGCTTTTGGAATCAAATTATCTCCAAATAAACTTAAAGCTGTTCATCAGTCTGAGCTATTTGCTTTCCTCCTCATTCAGTTTATATCACCAGTCCAGTTTATATCATGCCTGTATTCAGTTTATATCACCTTATTCAGTTTTATATCACCCCTGTATCCCATTAGCAATTCCAACACAGATTAGCTTAGAAAGTGAGCGAGACAATACTTCTTATCAAAATCAGCATTCACATTATTTCATACATCGGCCACAAACAGTTCTTTACTTAACAAGAAAACAAGAATCTTAAAACGACTTCTGGATCTGTGCAATCTAAACGTATTGTTTACTCATGGATTATCTGGATTATGAGAAATAATAAATGATAAAGGAGAGCTGAAGAGAGAAAACCTCTTACCAATCCCAGTCTTCCAAACTTTGTAGGAAATCACTAGAAGATCTGATGCTGTTCTCTCTTCCATTTTCAGTAAATTCTGACTCTAAAGAACATTTGGATAAAGAAATAGTTGTATTTTCCAGTGAGCTGTCCATGTCACCTGGAATATATAAAATAATACTAATTTTATTTTGCATTTGAGAAGCTGACATTAAGAAATCTACAAGGGCTTATTAGAAATGCTTGCCATGTAATCATGTAGGTTTAAGAACAAAAAAAACCACTGACACAACCTGACAAATGAACGAAGAATTAAAATAGCTTAAACTATAGGAAGAATTTAGTTTTCAAACCGGATTTGTCTTTCTGAAGTCTTACAGCTTGCCTTCATGTACTAATTTGTCTGTAACCAAAGCCTGATAAATACATTGTTTTACCCTGCTGTCCACATGCACCAGCAACGTATTTCTTAAGAAGCCCAAAAACCTTCTAAATATTAAATGTCTATGTATCTTTAAATTAAAGCTAAACGTGTGCATTATGAGGTGGACTGATACCGACTACTTCAAGCAGGACTTAAACACAAACAGGTTGGGAACCACCGTCCTAAAGCATCCTTTGTGCCCTTCATGTGAATGTTAACATTCCCAGGCTGGCTCCCAGATATCACAAACCCCTGATCAAGAAAGTCTACCTATTTAAAATGAGAAAATACAAAACTACTTAAAATAAATTTAGGAATGATACAGTTTTAGTATATATTTTTCCTGGAAAAGACATCAAAGCACCATTGTTTGGTATTACCTTTGTATACTAGGGAGCCTCCACTCTTACATTCAGTATGTAATGCTCCTGAAAGGCAGTCCTACAAGAAAGCACAAAACCACTGTAATATAGTCAGAATTTTCAGGCAAAGTGTATATTACAACTTACTTGTTTAACAGTTACAACACCCCGTGACAGAACTTACTACAAACTACTGACTTTGAAAAGGGAAGTGTTCTTTTTTACTGTATAAATGGCCCTCATATTAATATAATGAAGCAAACATACTCCCCACGGTCTAATAATGAAATATTCATAGTGTTATATGTTAAAATATTTGAGAGAATACAAGACATTATGAAGACAGTGACATAAAATAAGGGCATAAACGTAGGATTAGGTAATCACGGAAACAGTGCCATCTATCTTTACATCTAGGCTTTTTATGTCAGTTTCCTGTTCTACTTTTTCCTACTAACTTGTAACTACATACTAAAAAAACGAATGATAGAAGCATTAAGCTACAAGCAAAATCAATTAAACGTACATTAGAAAAGATCAGACTCAAAGCAGCTCTCATGATCTTAGCTGTGTTTCACTGCATCTCTCTGCTATGCTCCAAGTGAAGTGATCAACTGCTGTATTTTCTTGTGCTTAAATACTGCTTTTTAATGAAATAACAAAACACACAAACCAACCTAGCATTTCCTCCCTTGCAAGCATTACACTTTAAAGAAAAATAATTTTCAAAAGTTATCTTTAAAAAACTATCACTGACACTTTAAAGAACAGTACTGTAATTCAAAGCAGAATATTCCCCAAGAAAAAAAATAGCATCTAGGGCGCTACAAAATGCTATCCGAGTTGCAAATCCTTCTGAAGGAACTAAGGGCAGATAGATTCAGGTTTTAGCTGCTAAAGAACTCAAATCTTCACCTCATATTTGGGACAGTTCCTGATCCTAAAATGGAAAGTCACACTTCCTCAGAAAAAAAGGCTAGTTTCTGCATTCATTTGGTGATTCCCCGGACAAACTTGATCTCCCAATCCAACTATGTGTCTAGCCAAAACCCAGCTTTCAATCTCTCCCAATCTTCGGCTGCTCATGGGTATTTTTACAACGTATCACTTCCCTTGCAGCATGAGTTTGAACACTTAAGGTCTGTTATCCCCTGGGCACACTGGAAGCATTTGACCCATGGAACACAGATGCAATAAAGTTGCACAAAAAATTCTCAGTGAAAGACGAACAGACTTCAGACAAAATAAAAGTAATCACAATCCAGTTCCATCATTAGTACCGGTGCAAAGAACCTAGCATTCTCTGGTGTAAAATAACATTGCTTTACCTCGGCAAAGGAATGATACCCATCATAACTTACTGTCTGGTCACTGTAGCAACCTCTTATGAACTATGGGTTTGCTTCTCCTCTGGTTGACTAGATATGGAACAATTTCCTGCTCCCTGAAAACAGAGCTAATCACTAGGCTTTACGAAAAACCACAAACACTCCTAACACATTCTAAATAAGGCTAGCAATTGCTGTAGCAAAAGATGATGTGAATGTGTTATCCGATTATATATATTTCATACATGCCTAGTATACTACTTCTAAGAGGATTCACGTATTATCTTACCCAACTGGCAGGCACCAGAAGGTTTTAGGGAAAAACTAAGTGCCGAGCTGCTCAGACTGTGTTTTGGGAACGCATAAAATTTGGAATTGCAATTTCCCGTGAAATTTCAAGTTCAGCCAAGGATCTCTTCAGCACTTCCACTATAACACAATCGGAGCAGGACAGAGGTAGGATCAGAAAGAACACGCTTTACACGTAAGCTCCTAAAGTCTGTTTAAATCCCATTTTTGGCTCTCGCGCTGTATGTGTATGTAAGACATTGTGTTTACAATGAACCCCAAGGGAGGGGTCACAGACACCCCACCCCCCTCCCAGCACCTCAGGGACTGGGCGAGGAGGAACGGCTTTCCTCCTCCTCCTCCTCCTCCTCCTCCCACGCCGCCCACCTCC